AAAAAATAAATATAAATTAAAGTTTAGAATGGATAGATTTGGTGTATTTTACACAATTCAGTTGTTACTATAAAGTTTTCTTATATGTGTAAGTGAATTCTATGTGCCAAATTAATTAGAATTTGTCATTTAAAAATTATTGACGTTAAAATTAGCGTTTAAAATAGTATTACAATTACACTTTGCATGAGTACATATATATATATTTGATGTATATTTATCAAAGGTAAAAGCTATAACACAATAATCAACCATTTACCTTAGACACACGGTATTTTATCGAGATCTATCTTTGTGTTTTTAATCCAATTTTCGTAAAAGTACCTAACTCCAGTTTAAGTAGTTCATAATATCAAATAATCATGGTATAGTTATTATTATTGTCTGCTTCGAAATAATGCTTAATCAATAATCATATATCACTCTAATCGTTCAATGGTACCTAGCATATAATAATAAAAATTACAATGATTAATCCCAAACATTCTTCTTATCTTAAAACATTCATTACACTTCTGGATGAAATTAAATTAATATTCCAAATAATAATGTGTGTTAAAAAAAACAACAAAAATTAATTCAAGGAGAATAGGGGGGATCAGTTAGTAAAAAACTGCTAATATTTTCGACTAAATTGCGGAAAACCCAGTTCACCTCTTAGTTACCAGATTGCAATAAAGGCCAGCAGTGATGTATTTATCGAAAATTTCCTAATTTTAACTAAACTGTTATCAAAAAGTATTTTCTTGGAAATCTACTTCGTAAAAACGTTACCTAATATGCAATAAAATTACTCCATTCAATAACGAAAAGTTACATACAAAATGATTTAAGACAAGAAGAAGATATAACACGTGTGTTAGCTGTCAACAAAATACTAATATTGATAAACGTTATCACTGTCATTCGATACTAGGTGCAAAGTTTAGTATCTACATATATATTGTATGCATTGAGCAATATGTATCATACACTCTAAACATTGCACCATGTCAATAGTACGTAGATTTTAATTAAAAGAGTTAAAAAGTTTAATTGAAATTTGAAAATAGCGAGTGGTTTACCCAAAAATCAAGTAGAATAGTGTATATATATATAAAAACAGTCAATGTGATATTTATATTCACTTTCTGAACCCAATCCAACCATCACATTCATCATTCGATATCTACTCTTTTAATGAATATTTCAAAGCGCTATTATTAAAAAAGTTCCTAATCAAACGGCATTTTGGTGCAAACAATGATTAATTGATTTGACGACGATTAAAGTTTATCTTTTGGAATCGGACAAAAACGGCAAAGAAATGTACTAAATAAATTAATTGCAAAATTATTTTTGTACACGGTTTTTTACTAAGAATGAGAAATTAATAAATTTTGAACCGGGACCATTCTATACTTTTCTCGAATAAAACAAAAAACAAAAAGGAATTTCTGAATCCAACGTGTAAATGCGTCGCAACAAAAAAAAAAAAAACAAATAATTTTGTATCATTTACCTATCGCCCAAAATTTGGTTTCG